CAACCACCCCTCCAAAATCCTCAACTATAGCACCAACGTCAAAAACTAATGCAGCAACCACAACTATACCTGACACCTCAACAACTATTGATGCAACTACAACTTTGGCTTTGACAAACACTGCTTCAGTATCCTCAAGTATTGCACCAATTTCAACAACTGATGCAGCAACCACAACTCCGGCTGACACCACAAAAACTACTGATGCTACAATTTTGACTTCCACTACCACCCCTCCCAAATCTTCAACTGTAGCACCAACGTTAACAAGAGCCGATGAATCAACCACAACTCTGCCTGGCACCACAACTACTACTGATGCAACAACAACTTTGGCTTCCACAACCATCCCTCCAACATCCTCAGCTACAGTACCAATGTGGACAAATGATGGAATTACATCAACTATGCCTGAGTTTTCAACAACTATTAATTTTGGCTTCTACAACGACCCCTCCAAAATCCTCAACTACAGCAAAAATGTCAACAACTGATGCAGCAACCACAACTATAACTGACATCACAACAACTACTGATGAAACAATTTTTACTTCCTCAACCACCCCTCCAAAATCCTCAACTATAGCACCAACGTCAACAATGACAAATGATGGAATTACATCAACTATGCCTGACTTTTCAACAACTATTGATGCAACAGCAATTTTAGCTACCACAACCACACTTTCAACAGCTTCAACTGTGGCACAAATGTCAACAACAACTGATGCAGAAAAAACAACTCTGTCTGACACCACAAAAACCTCTGATGTAACAACAACTTTGGCTTTTGCAACCACATCTCCAATGTCAACAACTGTTGCAGCAACCACAACAATGCCTGACACCACAACAACTATAGATGCAACAACAACAACTTTGACTTCCACAACCAGCACTCCATCATCACCATCTGATGGAGCAACCACAACTATGCCCGACACCACAAAAGCTATTTACGCAACAACAATTTTGGCTTCCACAACCAGTACCCCAACATCCTCAACTATAGCACCAGCGTCAACAACAACTGATGTATCAACCACAACTCTGTCTGACACCACTACAACTACTGATGAAACAACAACTTTGGATTCCACAAACACTGTTGCACTAACGTCAACAATAGCTGATGAATCAACCACAACTCTGCCTGACACCACAACAACTACTGATGCAACAACAACTTTGGATTCCACAACCAACCCTCTAATGTCAACCACTGATGCATCAACCACAACTATACCTGACACCTCAACAACTATTGATGCAACTACAACTTTGGTTTTAACAAGCACTGTTTTATTATCATCAAGTATTGCACCAATTTCAACAACTGATGTAGCAACCACAGCTCTGCCTGACACCACAACAACTACTGATGCAACAATTGTGACTTCCTCAACCACCCCTCCAAAATCCTCAACTATAGCACCAACGTCAAAAACTAATGCAGCAACCACAACTATACCTGACACCACAACAACTATTGATGCAACTACAAGTTTGGCTTTGACAAACACTGTTTCAATATCCTCAAGTGTTGCACCAATTTCAACAACTGATTCAGCAACCACAACTCTGTCTGACACCACAAAAACTAATGATGCTACAATTTTGACTTCTACAACCACCCCTCCAACATCTTCGACTGTAGCAACAACGTCAAAAACAACTGATGAATCAACCACAACTCTGCCTGACACCACAACAACTACTGATGCAACAATTTTGGCTTCTACAACGACCCCTCCAAAATCCTCAACTACAGCACAAATGTCAACCACTGATGCATCAACCACAACTCGGTCTGACACCAAAACAAGTACTGATGCAACAATTTTTGCTTCCACAACCACCCCTCCAAAATCCTCAACTATAGCACCAATGTCAACAACTGATGCAGCAACCAAAACTATACCTGACACCACAACAACTATTGATGCAACAACAACAAATTTGACTTCCACAACCACACCTCCAGCGTCAACATCTGATGGAGCAACCACAACTATGACCGACACCATAAAAGCACAATGCCTGACACCACAACAACTATAGATGCAACAACAACAACCTTGACTTCCACAACCAGCACTCCAGCATCAACATCTGATGGAGCAACCACAACTATGCCCGACACCATAAAAGCTATTTACACAACCACAACTTTGGCTTCCACAACCAGTACCCCAACTTCCTTAACTATAGCACCAGCGTCAACAACAACTGATGCATCAACCACAACTCTGTCTGACACCACAACAACTATAGATGCAACAACAACAACTTTGGATTCCACAACCAACCCTCTAATGTCAACCACTGATGCATCAACCACAACTATACCTGATACCTCAACAACTATTGATGCAAATGCAACTTTGGTTTTAACAAGAACTGTTTTATTATCATCAAGTATTGCACCAATTTCAACAACTGATGCAATAACCACAACTCTGCCTGACACCACAAAAACTACTGAGGCTACAATTTTAACTTCCACAAGCACCCCTCCGACATCTTCGACTGTAGCACCAACGTCAACAACAACTGATGAATCAACCACAGCTCTGCCTGACACCACAACAACTACTGATGCAACAATTGTGACTTCCACAACCACCCCTCCAAAATCCTCAACTTTAGCACCAACGTCAAAAACTGATGCAGCAACCACATCTATATCTGACACCACAACAACTATTGATGTAACTACAACTTTGGCTTTGACAAACACTGTTTCAATATCCTCAAGTGTTGCACCAATTTCAACCAGCAACCACAACTCTGTCTGACACCACAAAAACTACTGATGCTACAATTTTGACTTCTACAACCACCCCTCCAACATCTTTGACTGTAGCAACAACATTAAAAACAACTGATGAATCAACCACAAGTCTGCCTGACACCACAAAAACTACTGATGCAACAACATCTTTGGATACCACAACCACCTTTCCAACACCCTCAACTGTGGCAGCAATGACAACCATATCTGTTGCAGCAACTACAACTCTGTCTGACACCACTACAACTACTGATGCAACAACAACTTTGGATTTCACAACCACCCCTCTAATGTCAACCACTGATGAATCAACCACAACTCTGTCTGACACCAAAACAACTACTGATGCAACAATTTTTGCTTCCACAACCACCCCTCCAAAATCCTCAACTATAGCACCAATCTCAACAACTGATGCAGCAACCACAACTATACCTGACACCAGAACAACTATTGATGCTACAATTTTGACTTCCACAACCACCCCTCCAACATCTTCGACTGTAGCACCAATGTTAACAACAGCCGATGAATCAACCACAACTCTGCCTGACACCACAACAACTACTGATGCAATAACATCTTTGGCTACCAAAACCACCTTTCTATCTTCCTCAACTGTGGCACCAACGGCAACAATATCTGATGCAGCAACTACAGCTATGCCAGGCACTGCAACAAACATTGTTGCAAAAACTTTGACTTCCACAACCATCCCTCCAACATCCTCAGCTACTGTATCAGTGTTGACAAATGATGGAATTACATCAACTATGCCTGACTTTTCAACAACTATTGATGCAACAAAAACTTTAGCTACCACAACCACACTTTCAACAGCCTCAGATGTGGCACAAATATCAACAACAACTGATGCAGAAATAACAACTCTGTCTGACACCACAAAAATGTCTGATGTAACAACAACTTTGGCTTTTACAACCACATCTCCAATGTCAACAACTGTTGCAGCAACCACAACAATGCCTGACACCACAACAACTATAGATGCAACAACAACAACTCCCTCTAATGTCAACCACTGATGCATCAACCACAACTATACCTGACTCCTCAACAACTATTGATGCAACTACAACTTTGGTTTTAACAAGCACTGTTTTATTAAAATCAAGTATTGCACCAATTTCAACAACTGATGCAGCAACCACAGCTCTGCCTGACACCACAACAACTACTGATGGAACAATTGTGACTTCCTCAACCACCACTCCAAAATCCTCAACTATAGCACCAACGTCAAAAACTAATGCAGCAACCACAACTATACCTGACACCACAACAGCTATTGATGCAACTACAACTTTGGCTTTGACAAACACTGTTTCAATATCCTCAAGTGTTGCACCAATTTCAACAACTGATTCAGTAACCACAACTCTGCCTGACACCACAAAAACTACTGATGCAACAAAATCTTTGGCTACCACAACCACCTTTCCAACACCCTCAACTGTGGCACCAACGGCAACAATATCTGACGCAGCAAGTACAACTCTGTCTGACACCACAGCAACTACTGATGCAACAACAACTTTGGATTCCACAACCACCCCTCCAACATTCTCAGCTACAGTACCAGTGTTTACAAATGATGGAATTACATCAACTATGCCTGACATTTCAACAACTATTGATGCAACAACAACTTTAGCTACCACAACCACACTTTCAACAGCTTCAACTGTGGCACAGATGTCAACAAAAACTGATGCAGAAACAACAACTCTGTCTGACATCACAAAAACATCTGATGTAACAACAAATTTGGCTTTTACAACCACATCTCCAATGTCAACAACTGTTGCAGCAACCACAACAATGCCTGTCACCACAACAACTATAGATGCAACAACAACAACTTTGACTTCCACAACCACCCCTCCAGCATCAAAATCTGATGGAGCAACCACAACTATGCCCGACACCACAAAAGCTATTTACGCAACAACAATTTGGGCTTCCACAAACAGCACCCCAACATCCTCAACTATAGCACCAGCGTCAACAACAACTGATGCATCAAACACAACTCTGTCTGACACCCCTACAACTACTGATGCAACTACAAGTTTGGATTCCACAACCACCCCTCTAATGTCAACTACTCATGCATCAACCACGACTCTGCCTGACACCACAACAACTACTGATGCAACAACATCTTTGGCTACCACAACCACCTTTCCAACACCCTCAACTGTGGCACCAGCGGCAAGAATATCTGATGCAGCTAATGTCAACCACTGATGCATCAACCACAACTCTGCCTGACACCACAAGTACTGATGCAACAACATCTTTGGCTACCACAACCACCTTTCTAACACCCTCAAATGTGGCACCAACAGCAACAATATCTGATTCAGCAACCACAACTCTGACTGAGAACACGAAAACTACTGATACTACAATTTTGACTTCCACAAGCACCCCTCCAACATCTTCAACTCTAGCACCAACGTCAACAACAACTGATGCAGCAACCACAACTCTGTCTGACACCACAACACCTACTGATGCAACAACAACTTTGGATTCCACAACCACCCCTCTAATGTCAACTACTGATGCATCAACCACAACTCTGTCTGACACCACAACACCTACTGATGCAACAACAACTTTGGATTCCACAACCACCCCTCTAATGTCAACTACTGATGCATCAACCACAACTCTGTCTGACACCACAACACCTACTGATGCAACAACAACTTTGGATTCCACAACCACCCCTCTAATGTCAACTACTGATGCATCAACCACAACTCTGTCTGACACCACAACACCTACTGATGCAACAACAACTTTGGATTCCACAACCACCCCTCCAACATCCTCAGCTACAGTACCAGTGTTTACAAATGATGGAATTACATCAATTATGCCTGACTTTTCAACAACTATTGATGCAACAACAACTTTAGCTACCACAACCACACTTTCAACAGCTTCAACTGTGGCACAAATGTCAACAACAACTAACACAGAAACAACAACTCTGTCTGACACCACAAAAACATCTGATGTAACAACAACTTTGGCTTTTGAAACCACATCTCCAATGTCAACAACTGTTGCAGCAACCAAATCAATGCCTGACACCACAACAACTACAGATGCATCAACAACAACTTTGACTTCTGCAACCACCCCTCCAGCGTCAACATCTGATGGAGCAACCACAACTATGCCCGACACCACAAAAGCTATTTACACAACAACAATTTGGGCTTCCACAAACAGCACCCCAGCATCCTCAACTATAGCACCAGCGTCAACAACAACTGATGCATCAACCACAACTGTGGCACCAAAAGCAACAATATCTGATTCAGCAACCACAACTCTGACTGAGAACACGAAAACTACTGAAACTACAATTTTGACTTCCACAAGCACCCCTCCAAGATCTTCAACTCTAGCACCAACGTCCACAACAACTGATGAATCAACCACAGCTCTGCCTGACACCGCAACAACTACTGATGCAACAACATCTTTGGCTACCACAACCACCCCTCCAAAATCCTCAACTGTAGCACCAACGTCAACAACTGATGCAGCAACCACAACTCTGTCTGACACCACAAAAACTACTGATGCTACAACTTTGACTTCTACAACCACCCTTCCAACATCTTCGACTGTAGCAACAACGTCAAAAACAACTGAAGAATCAACCACAACTCTGCCTGACACCACAAAAACTACTGATGCAACAACATCTTTGGCTTCAACAACCACCTTTCCAACACCCTCAACTGTGGCACCAATGGCAACAATATCTTATGCAGCAACTACAACTCTGTCTGACACCACAACACCTACTGATGCAACAACAATTTTGGCTTCCACAACCAGCACCCCAACATCCTCAACTATAGCAACAGCGTCAACAACAACTGATGCATCAACCACAACTCTGTCTGACACCACAACAACTACTGATGCAACTACAACTTTGGATTCCACAACCACCCCTCTAATGTCAACCACTGATGCATCAACCACAACTCTGCCTGACACCACAACAACTACTGATGCAACAACATCTTTGGCTACCACAACGACCTTTCCAACACCCGCAACTGTTGCACCAACGGCAACAATATCTGATTCAGCAACCACAACTCTGACTGAGAACACAAAAGCTACTGATGCTACAATTTTGACTTCCACAAGCACCCCTCTAACATCTTCGACTGTAGCACCAATGTTAACAACATCTGATGAATCAACCACAGCTCTGTCTGACACCACAACAACTACTGATGCAACAACATCGTTGGCTACCACAACCACCCCTCCAAAATCCTCAACTATAGCACCAACGTCAACAACTGATGCACCAACCACAACTATAACTGACACGACAACAACTATTGATGAAACTACAACTTTAGCTTTCACAAAAACTGTTTCAATATCCTCAAGTATTGCACCAATTTTAACAACTGATGCAGCAACTACAACTCTGTCTGACACCACAAAAACTACTGATGCTAAAATTTTGACTTCCACAAACACCCCTCCAACATCTTCGACTGTTGCACCAATGTCAACAATAGCTGATGAATCAACCACAACTCTGCATGACAGCACAACCACTACTGATGCAACAACATCTTTGGCTACCACAAACAGCTTTCCAACACCCTCAACTGTGGCACCAACAGCAACAATATCTGATGCAGCAACTACAACTCTGTCTGACACCACAACAACTACTGATGCAACTAGAACTTTGGCTTTGACAAACACTGTTTCAATATCCTCAAGTATTACACCAAATTTAACAACTGATGAAGCAACTACAACTCTGTCTGACACCACAACTACTGATGCAACAACAACTTTGGATTCCACAACCACCCCTCTAATGTCAACCACTGATGCATCAACCACAACTCTGTCTGACACCACAACAACTACTGATGCATCTACAACTTTGGATTCCACAACCACCCCTCTAATGTCAACCACTGATGCATCAACCAAAACTCTGCCTGACACCACAACAACTACTGATGCAAGAACATCTTTGGCTACCACAACCACCTTTCCAACACCCTCAACTGCGGAACCAACGGCAACAATATCTGATTCAGCAACCCCAACTCTGACTGAGAACACAAAAACTACTGATGCTACAATTTTAACTTCCACAAAAACCCCTCCAACATCTTCGACTGTTACACCAATGTCAACAATAGCTGATAAATCAACCACAACTCTGCATGACACCACAACAACTACTGATGCAACAACAAATTTGGATTCCACAACCACCCCTCTAATGTCAACCACTGATGCATCAACCACAACTCTTTTTGACACCACAACAACTACTGATGGAACAATTTTGGATTCCACAATGACCCCTCCAAAATCTTCAACTACAGCACAAATGTCAACAACGGATGCAGCAACCACGACTATACCTGACACCACAACAACTATTGATGGAACTACATCTTTGGCTTTTATAAACACTGTTTCAATAACCTCAAGTGTTGCACCAATTTCAACAACTGATGCAGCAACCACAACTCAGTCTGACACCACAAAAACTACTGATGCTACAATTTTGACTTCCACAACCACGTCTCCAACATCCTCAACTGTGCCACCAACGGCAACAATATCTGATGCAGCAACTAAAGCTATGCCAGGCACCGCAACAACCATTGATGCAACAACAACTTTTTCTTCCACAACCATCCCTCCAACATCCTCAACTGTAGCGCCAGTGTCAAAAACTGATGCATCAACCACAACTCTGTCTGACACCACAACAACAACTAATGCAACAACAATTTTGGCTTCCACAACCACACCTCTGACATCGACAACTATAGCACCAGCATCAACATCTGATGCAGCAACCGCAACTATGCCTGACACCACAACAACTATTGATGCAACAACAACTTTGGATTCCACAACCAACCCTCTAATGTCAACCACTGATGCATCAACCACAACTCTGTCTGACACCACAACAACTACTGATGCAACAATTTTGGCTTCCTCAACCACACCTCAAAAATCCTCAACTATAGCACAAACACTAACAACTAATGCAGCAAACACAACTATACCTTACACCACAACAACTATTGATGCAACTACAATTTTGGCTGTTTCAATAACTTCAAGTGTTGCACCAATTCTAATAATTGATGCAGCAACCACAACTCTGTCTGACACCACAAAAACTACTGATGCTACAATTTTGACTTCCACAACCACGTCTCCAACATCCTCAACTGTGCCACCAACGGCAACAATATCTGATGCAGCAACTACAACCCCTCCAACATCTTTGCCTGTAGCAGCAACGTCAGCAACAGCTGATGAATCAACCACAACTCTGCATGACACCACAAGAACTACTGATGCAACAACATATTTGGCTACAACAACCACCTTTCTAACCCTCTCAAGTTTGGCACCAACAGCAACAATATCTGATGCTGCAACTACAGCTATGCCAGGCACCACAACAACCATTGATGCAACAACAACTTTAGCTACCACAACCATCCCTCCAACATCCTCAGCTACAGTACCAATGTTGACAAATGATGGAATTACAACAACTATGCCTGACTTTTCAACAACTATTGATGCAACAACAACTTTAGCTACCACAACCACCCTTTCAACATCTTCAACTGTGGCAAAAATGTCAACAACAAGAACTGATGCTGAAACAACAACTCTGTCTGACACCTCAAAAAATTTGGATGTAACAACAACTTTGAGTTTTACAACCACATCTCCAATTTCAACAACTGATGCAGCAACCACAACTATGCCTGACACCACAACAACTATTGATGCAACAACAACAACTTTGACTTCCACAACCACCCCTCCAGCATCAACATCTGATACAGCAACCACAACTATGTCCGACACCACAAAAGCTATTTACGCAACAACAATTTTGGCTTCCACAACCAGTACCCCAACATCCTCAACTATAGCACCAGTGTCTATAACGACTGATGCATCAACGTCAATTCTGTCTGACACCACAACAACTACTGATGCAACAACAACTTTGACTTCCACAACCACCCCTCCAGCATCAACATCTGATGCAGCAACCACAACTATGCCCGACACCACAAAAGCTATTTACGCAACAACAGTTTTGGCTTCCACAACCAGTACCCCAACATCCTCAACTATAGCACCAGTGTCTATAACGACTGATGCATCAACGACAATTCTGTCTGACACCACAACAACTACTGATGCAACAACAACTTTAGCTACCACAACCACCTTTCCAACATCCTCAACTATAGCACCAGTGTCTATAACGACTGATGCATCAACGACAATTCTGTCTGACACCACAACAACTACTGATGCAACAACAACTTTGGATTCCACAAACACCGCTCTAATGTCAACCACTGATGCATCAACCACAACTCTGTCTGAGACCACAACAACTACTGATGCAACAAATTTGGCTTCCACAACCACCCCTCCAAAATCCTCAACTATAGAACCAACATCAACAACTGATGCAGCAACCACAACTATACCTGACACCTCAACAACTATTGATGCAACTACAACTTTGGCTTTGACAAACACTGCTTCAGTATCCTCAAGTATTGCACCAATTTCAACAATTGATGCAGCAACCACAACTTTGTCTGACACCACAAAATCTACTGATGCTACAATTTTTACTTCCACAATCACCCCTCCAACATCTTCGACTGTAGCACCAACGTCAACAACAACTGATGAATCAACCACAACTATGCCTGACACCACAACAACTACGGATGCAACAACATCTTTGGCTACCACAACCACCTTTCCAACATCCTCAACTGTTGAAGCAACGTCAACAACATCTGATGCAGCAACCACAAGTATGCCTGACACCACAACAATGATTGATGCAACAACAACTTTGGCTTCCACAATCACTCCTACAACATCCTCAACTGTAGCGCCAGTGTCAAAAACTGATGCATCAACCACAACTATGCCTGACACCACAACAACTATTGATGCAACAATTTTGGCTTCTACAATCACCCCTCCAAAATCCTCAACTATAGCACCAACGTCAACAACTGATGCAGCAACCACAACTATGCCTGACACCACAACAACTATTGATGCAACAATTTTGGCTTCTACAATCACCCCTCCAAAATCCTCAACTATAGCACCAACGTCAACAACTGATGCAGCAACCACAACTATACCTGACACCACAACAACTATTGATGCAACTACAACTTTGGCTTTCACAAATACTGTTTCAACATCCTCAAGTATTGCACCAATTTCAACAACTGATGCAGCAATCACAACTATGCATGGCACCACAAAAGCTATTTACGCAACAGCAACTTTGGCTTCCACAGCCTGCTCCCCAACATCCTCAATTATAGCACCAGCGTCAGCAACAACTGATGCATCAACCACGACTCTGTCTGACACCACAACGACAACTGTTGGAACCACAACTGTGCCTTACACCAAAATAACTATTGATGCAACAACATCTTTGGCTTTCACAACCACTCCTCCAACATCCTCAACTGTAGCACAAGCATCAACAACTGATGCGGCAACCACAGCTATACCAGAGACCACAAGAATTATTGATGCAACAACTACTTTGGCTTCCAGAACCACAACTCCAACATCTTCAACTCTGCCACCAATGTTAACAACAACTGATACAGCAAAGGCAACTCTATCTGATACCACAACACCTATAGATGCAACAACAACTTTGGCTTCCACAATCACTCCTATAACATCCTCAACTGTAGTGCCAGCATCAGCAACTGATGCAGCAACCACAACTATGCCTGACACCACAATAACTATTGATGCAACAACAACTTTATCTGCCAGAACCACCCCTCCAACATCCTCAAATATAGGACCAACGTCAACAACTGATGCTGCAACCACAGCTATTCCTGACACCACAAGTATGGATGCAACAACAGCTTTAGCTGCCACAACCACCCTCTCAAAATCTTTAACTGTGGCACCAATGTCAACAATAACTGATGCAGAAACGGCAACTCGATCTGATACCACAACAACTATAGATGCAACAACAACTTTGGCTTCCACAATCATTTTTAAAACATCCTCAACTGTAGTGCCAACAACAGCAACTGATGCATCAACTACAACTCTGCCTGACACCACAACAACTTCTGATGCAACAATAACTTTGGCTTCCACAACCACCCCTCAATCATCAACAACTGATGCAGAAAGCAAAGCTCTGACTGACACCACAACAACAATTTATGCAACAACAACGAATAATGGATCAACCACAACTATACCTGACAATGCAACAACTATTGATGCAACTACAACTTTGGCATTCACAAACACTGGTTTAACATCTTCAAGTATTGCACCAACTTCAACAACTGATGCAGCAACCACAACCCTGTCTGAAACCAGAAAAACTATTGAACCAACAACTTTGGCTTCCACAACCACCCCTCCAACATCCTCAACCTTAGCACCAGCGTCAACAACTGATGCATCAACCACAACTCTGTCTGATAACACAAAAAGTATTGATGCAATAATAACTTTGGCTTCAACAACTACCCCTCCAAAATCAACAACTGAAGCAGCAACCATAAACATGCATTTCTCCACAAAAACTATTGATGCAGCAACAATTTTGGCTTCCACAACCATGCCTTCAACATCCTCAACCGCAGCATCAACATTGACAACTGATGCAGCAACAACAACTTTGACTGACACCACAACAATTATTGACTCAACAAATTTGGCTTCCACAAATACTCGTCCAACATCCTTGTCTGTAGCTCAAATGTCAACTACAACTGGCTCATCAACCACAACTCTGTCTGACACCACAACAACTACTGATGCTACAACAACTTTGGCATCAACAACCACCCCTCCAACGTCAACAACTGATGCTGCAACTACAACTATGCCTGACACCACAATAAGTATTGATGCAACAACAAATTTGGCTTCCACAACCACCCCTCCAAAATCCTCAACTGCAGTACCAATGACAACAACTGATGCACAAACCACTGCTATGCCTGACTCCAAAAAAACTATGCCTGACACCACAACAGCTGTTGATGCAACAACAACTTTGTCTTCTACATCCACCTTTCCAACATCCTCAACAGTGGCACCAAATTTAACAACAGCTGATGCATCTACCAAAAGTATGCCTGACACAACAACACCTACTGATACAACAATAACTTTGGCTTCCACAACCACCCTTCCAACATCCTCAACTATAGCATCAGCGTCAACTACTGATGCAGCATCAAAAACTATGCCTAACACCATAAAACCTACTCATGCAACAACAACTTTGGCTTCCACAACCACTCCTCCAGCATCCTCAACCATAGCACAAACGTTGACAAATCATGCAGCAACAACAACTATGCCTGACACCACAAAAACTACTGATGCAACAACAACTTTGGCTTCCACAACAACTCCTCCAACATTCTCAACTATTACACAAAACACCACAACTCATCCAGAATCTACAACTATGCCTGAAATCAGTACAAGTATTGGTGAAAAAGCTACAACTTTGACCCCCACAAGCACCACAACCCCTCCAACTTTGGTGGAGGAGTCAGTGACAACATCATCCACGAATATTCATCCAACAAGCACAACAATGTCTGAGATGAAAATTACTACCTTTGGTGCATTAAATACAGATATAACTGATTCAACAACCACACCTAATTCTAAAATCACAACAACTAGTAGACAAACAATTACAACCAGAATGTCCTCCTCAACATTGGTGGAAGAGCCAACGACAGCACAATCACAAGCTACATCTAATTTAAATACAACAACATTTCCGGGGTTTACAACAACAGCTTTGACTAATCCTCAGACAGAAAATAATCCTACAATGCACTTCCCAACATCTACAGCAGTCCTTGGCAAAACAAGCTTACCTCTAATGAACAGAACTGGTTCAGCACTGGTTACAAGCAAAGTACAGTTCAACTCCGCATCCCCAGTCCCCAGAGAAACTCAGGTCCTCATTGTTATCAACACTCTTCTCAAATCCAGAGATTCACAGCCCAACAAATCAGTTCAAGTGCTGAATGTCACCTATAAGAGTAAGTTTCATTGTTTTGAGTTGAAAAGTTTTTGAAATATGAATGTGCCGACTATAATGTTAATGTGAAGCCAAGACACAATCCATATATTTCCCTTCAAACAGATATCTCAGAGACCTCCTATGCAATCATCTTTACATTTAACCTGATTGACATTAGTATACCAGAGGACCCTGAGCTAAAGAACAACACCTATCAGCACCTGCAGAATGTTATAGATCTCTCACATTTATGATGAATATGTGTTGATATTACTCTGCAGTTGAACACACTTCTGAATGAACCTGGCCATCAGGTTTTTAAAGCCAAGTCCTCCAAATTCAAGTAAGATGATTTCATTTTTGAATCATGTTTATTCATATTGTTAATTCACTGTAGCATTTTTGTATATAAAACAATCAAACCTTAAAAGACCTAAACTGTTAATCTATTTTGCTCATATTGACTGAAGCTATTTCAAAATAACCTCCAACTGCACCTAATATCCACTTCCATTTCAGAATCAATTTATTATTTTGCTTTCTATCCTTTTGACATTTCAAAACATTTCCCTCTAGGTGCACAGAAAACCACATTGAGGGCAGTATGGAATATATCTTTAACAGCAAAGATCAACCCACCATTTTGTTAAAGGAGCTTAATTTACAGAACAGTATGTCAATTCCAATGATACAATAAAACAATATATATGTCATGGATGTTCATGCCATTTTCACTGTATAATTTACCATGTGTTTCTCATCCAGTAATCAATTTTGTTTTACAGGCTTAATAACAACGACCCTTGCAAAACCAGGCACATCTACAACCACTAAAGAAACTACAACTTTGTACGAAAAATAATCAGTCTTATTAAAAGGGAAATCATTTATATTACCTATGCTGTAGATTCCTTATATTTAAATGTTCCTTTTCAGGATTGGGAGGGTGATTTTTTACATTCGGCTCATTTTTATCACACGGGGCCCCATACCAAGTGAGAGCCATGTTCAACATTTGGTCAACTTACTGCTGGCCCCACGTCTCAGAGCTAAACAAGACACAGCACAGACCCTGAATGATCCTGTGAGCTATGTGAATGCCAGCTATGAGAGTGAGTTGTTCTCTTCTGCTTAGATTTGCTTGCTGTGAATGTAAAATTTAAAACTAAACTAAAAAGTTGCACATATCAGAAATTTGGTAAGAGTGTTTAATTGATATTAAAGTTTAATGTTTTTTTTATAGTGCATGATGATTTTTGTAAATAAAAAATATTTATTTATTTATTTTATTTTTTTACCTATCCAAGCTACAATATATCACTCTCCTATTTTGAGCAGGAGGATAAATATGACATTTCACCACCTATATGTATAATCAACTAATTAGTGTTATATACTGTGTTCTTATTAAGAAATTGCTGATAATTCATATGCCCTCAAATGTGGATTTGAGATCAACAGTCCATCAATGGGAGAGAAACTTGAACTCAGGGATGGCAACTACACATTCATTCAAAACTCCATAAAAAGAAAGGTGGGTTTGAGAATGTTTTAGACAGAAATTAAGAAGACACATTAACCTTAAAATATGATCATAAAACAATTCATCTCTGTATTTATTAATAAATTCTTCAGCTGAACCAGATCTTAAGTGACTCTGACACTTCTGTTGAGTTCAACAAAGCCAATTTCACGTATGTAATTACTTTTTGTTTTATACTTTAATCAGAGCAATGATGTGGCTTCAAGTGAGTTAAAAAACTGCTTTAACTTCCCCCAGGAAAAATTCCATGGAGGTCATTGCTGATATTGACTATATTTTCCGGCAACAAGACATCAAGTCACCCAGTGACTTCCTCCAAGGACTTCTCAAAGTTATGAATAGTATGTATTCTTTCCATATTATAGAGATAAATTAATTCAATGTATGACAATTTAACATTATTAACTAGCCTACTATTTCATGTTTTAAATATATTATCCATATACAGTATATATATATATATATAAAAAAAATGTTTATAGTATATACAGTATATATTTATGATATCATGATATTATGATTTATGATTATGATTTATTTATTTTATGCATTCTTCTTCTCCTTAAATATATCTCCTAAAATATTTTTTGCACTACAGGCTTAACAACTTCAGCTCCAACAGGGAATAAAACAACTCAGAAACCTGTACAAACACCAAATGTGTAAGTATAAAATTTAAGAATAAATTGTATTGTGTAAAAGGTAAACATTTTATTCATTATCTCTCTCACCATTATTCCTCTTTACCTTCTTTTTCAGGATTGGGAGGGTGATTATTCACATTCGGCTCATATTTATCACACGGGGCCCTGTACCAAGTGAGGCAAAAATATTGCAGTTGGCAAACTTTCTGCTGGCTGCACGTTTCAGAACTAAACGAGAACTAAGGCCACAAAGCTTAGGTACCCCTGTGAGCTTTGTGAATGTTACTTACATAAGTGAGTTTTCTCTTCTCCGTGCAGTCACCAGTAAACACATTTTATATTGCAGTAAAAAGATGTATGCACACGGTATCAGCTAATATATATTATTATTATTAATTCATGTATTTATTTTTTAAAGAAATTTCTGATACGTCATATGCCCTGAATTTTGGATTTGAAATCAACAATGTTACCATGTCTCAGAAACTTGAACTCAGGGATACCACATATAAATTAATCCAGGACACTATAAATAAATTGGTAAGTCTGATACAATTTGTATTTAAAATGCCCTTATTATTATTAGTATTATTATTATCATTAAGCTTTGTTTTTGATTAAGCTCAACTATTAAACTCAAATTCTATCATCTTCAATTTTGAATAAAACAATTTTTCATTGCTGACCTGTTTAGCTGAACGAGATCCTAACTGAGCCCACAGCCACTCCATTTGTGTTCAAAGATTCCAATTTCACGTAAGATTTAAACTTTTATTAGAACAGAAATGTCCATTGCTTCTAAGACATCTAGTTTAAATGTGGTTAGATCAGATATAAAGGAAGTACACTGAGATCTTTTTGAAGGGTTCATTTGCGTCAATGTATATTTTAATCTCTCCCCAGGGGTAATTCCACCACTATTCAGGCTGATGTAAAGTATGTTTTCTCAGAAAGCGACATCCAGAAACCAAGTGCCTTTCTCTATGCACTTATTGTGGTTAATAATGGTATGTTCTTCTGCACAGAAATGTTATTGTTAGTTTTATAGTTATTTGAGATTTTTGTAATCTGAATTATTTTACACCTTGTCATCTACAGAGACTATTACCACAACTACACCTGCTACAACAAGAACCACCTTTTACTCCACAGTGCTGAGCACTACAATCACAAATAACGGCACTAATGCAGCATGGGTTGTGGCCATTATTGTCCCCTGTGCTATTGCCATCATCCTCGTACCTTGCTGGATTCTCCTTTGTGTAAGTTTTATAAAGATTTAATAAGAAATATGCATATTATAATCGAAGTGATTAGTGATAACATTTGATATAAAAATGTATATGGTTAATTCCAGTCTAACTAGGCTCTCTCTCTGTCCTCAGTGTTTGCTGTGTGGTTGCTGTACAGCATTAAGAAGACGGTGGTCCAGAAGACGGTCATACAATGTACAATACACCACTCGAAACAGCCTTTTCTAGAGAGCTCGAGACACATCAGGAAAATGACTAATTACTTATATTACTAATCCAAATTGTGATGGTGGTACTTTAAAGTTTACATTTAACTTTCCATAATGATTATGATATCTTAGAGCTTTTATAATACACTATTTATTTATTGCGCCTGTATTGCTGGACAGACAGGATCTCAAATTGTGATTAATGTAATTTATTTTCAGAATTGTTTAATGGACAAAAAATTTGTATTTACGATTTCTGTAATGTTTACAATATTTACATGTTATAATATTTTTGGATTTCCAAATAATTAATTTATTTGATATTACACTTTTCATTTTAAGGGGCAATGTTGGTAATGTTAAACTTTAAACACTTTATGCACTTTAGTTCCATGTAACTCAAAGGAAAATCCTTGTGTGCTTTACACACAGGCATAGATGTAAAACAGCAGCAACATCAATCAACACTCATTTTATCTGCATAATTTCAGATCTCATTCTTAATGATCACTTCTGTTCTGACAAGATTGTCCTGCAGCTGCTAACAGGACATTTTTATTTTAGTAAGGCATCACACAAACAGCTTTCTTAACCTTTTAAATCATAACAACATTAATAAATTTAAGAACAAATGTATATATAACCAAATGACTATATGATCTAGCAGGACCTTGCATGCATAAAAAAATAAAAACCTTTACAATGTTGAAAAATACACAAATTCTATTTATTTTGAAAGTTGTAAGTACATTTCACATGTATATCACATTCATCCACTATTTTTCCACATATTTCTAAATATAGAATTTGTTATAATTAAAAGCCATGAGCTGACACATACACAGAGCACAGGAGTCATCATCCAATCGTTTAAAATTACATTTAAATGTGTATTTAAATATAATCTGACACCCATTTTTGAGTTTTATGTTGTGGTGATAAAAAATTATAAGAGCTATATTTAAATACATTTAGATTTTTTTTTTTAAATACTTACCTAAAAAATATAAGATTTGGAATAATTCTTGAAATAGTAACTCGGTCAAATATTTATTAATCTTATATTTTAATGATGGCGCTACTTTCATATCCCTCATATCACAAGAAGGACTCGTGTTTCATACAAACGCAACTGGCGCTCTCTTGTGGCTCATCGATTGTAATGAAAATCAGGACTTCAGTATTACTATTGCCATATTGTTCCGGTGTTGGCGCTAGGTCAATTGATTTGTACATTATACATTTTTACAAATAAATTAGTTATAAATTAATACTATAAATAATTTAACTCAAATCAATCATGTCCACATAATTTGGTCAGTAGCCGTGTAATAAGCGGAATACAGTACTGTAAGTCATTACTGAATGACAACCTGTCAGTTTTTAATAAAAAATAAACCCAGACAGGGTCATGATGACATATATTTGTACATACATTCACATTCATAGCCCCAATACAAAACCTGTAAAATAAATAAAAAATATAAGTTAAATAAATGCTGATGACATTTGTACATACATTCACATTCATAGCCCCAATACAAAACCTGTAAAATAAATAAAAAATATAAGTTAAATAAATGAAAATAAAAGCTGAGTATGATTTCCCTCACAGTGCATCACAAACCCATATCCTGATATGAAGTAGCAGATAAAGTCTGGTGAATTACATTAATACAACAACAAACAAAAGCCGAATTAGAAGCTAGATAAAAAACGTTTGTCAAGACAAACTTTAGGTTGGCTTGAGAAAGCCTAGCCTGAAAGTTTGAAGAAGTTGTAAAAGCTTCAAATTTGAAGCAGTTTTGAAGTTTGAAAGTTTAGACAGAGCGAGCTGCTGAAAACAAACAAAAAACAATAGAAACCATCACAAAAATTCTAATGGTTTCCACTTTCCACTACAAATACCATTACAAACCATCAACTATACCATTACAACCATTAAAACGTTACTTTTCAGTCTGCCATTGTTTCACCGCCGGAGCAGATGTAGACAAGAATGACTCCTAAGCGATTGAGGTCTTCTGTTGTTTGATGTAGTAATGAACATAGCAGTCGTCGTTTACTCCCGATATCTGAGCCACTGAAGACGCAGTGGATTATGTTTGTTTTTGAAGGGAATGTGTCTATGGTCGCGCGAATCATTCGTGATCCAGCTTCACCTCCAGAAGTGAGTGTAAGGTTTTTTTAATGAATCTTTGCAAATCGCCTTTCCTAATAATGTGCTAATTAGCAAGTTTCACAATGAATGCAGAAAAAGTAAACAGTCCCGCAGAGAGCGGCTCGGAAGAGAGGGGCGGGTCAGCAAAGTAGGGATGGGCGTATCGATCCGAAGTATCGATATATCGATACTGACGCGAGTATCGAAAGTATCGATGATAAAGCTCTATTAACATTTAAAGGAAAATGCTACAAAACCATTCTCTGAAAAGAGCTGTTTTTGACAGGGTAAAAAATGTGTGTTTTTACACTACCATTGAGAAATTGTAACCAAACTATGTTACAGACTTTTCATTAAGACCCCAAAGAATCATATCAACTTGTGGAAAATGGGCATCCTATGACCCCTTTAACATACGTGCTACTTCAGAGTCGCTGTCTGTTTGTCAAGTGCTGAAATATTACCTTATAGACCAATTATCGGTTTGTAAACATTCAGGATGCGCACGCATCATGGTTGCAGAAAACCCGGGAGAGATACCCTTTACGGCTAAAGAATTAAAAGGATACGGTACAAAATAGTTAGGTTTAAAAAGATTATAGATTATATAGATTAGATGTTATTTTAACGAAATTAACGTTAGAGAGTGCGATAGTCTTACAGATCCGAAACAGGGATGAAGTTTGTTGTGGGCGGAGCCTATCTGGAGGCAGAAAATGACGGTTTTCGAGTGGCAGTCTACGGAGCCATGGAATAAAATAATAAAAAAAAAAGGTAAATTTGATTTTATATTTCAAAATTATTACTTTATTCTCGCAATTCCGAGATTATATTTCACAATTCTAATAAGGAAAAACAACTCGTCATTCTCTCTTTTCCCCTCGGCTCTTCTGGCTTTATTCCCTCAGATTTGACAAACTCACCATTTATGAGTTGAGTCGAGTTATAAAGTCCGAATTAGGAGATATAAACTTGCATTTG